CCCCAGGGAGGAGTGTGCACTTGCCCTTTATGACAGTGTTCTTAGCCATTCAACGACTCTATCTGGGTCAACTCAGAGGTGACTTCTTGTTTTGTCTTCCCTCTTGAAAACACCAATCCGAGTCTATACACCCCTACTCTAACAGGCATCATAACTGTATTATAGTACTTTGGTGGTCTTGTGATTTGATGTTTATGTATCTGCCTTCTACTGTAGCCAGTAAGGTCATATAGAGTATGGTTTGTGTCATAGCAGCACCATGCAGTTCTTAGCAAATTTCACTCATCCTATTATTACCACATTAAATCTTATTAAACTTCATTGATTTTCATCTAATTGAACTGATCTTAGGAATTTTCTGCCTCTGAGTGTGTGAGTAAATCAGAGCAGATACAATTTGTAAATTTTATGTGGGGATGTTTTCTGACTTCAGGCTGGGGAAGGATAAGATTCTTTCTTTGTCTTGATCTTTGTTGTCATTTCTCTTTACCCTGAGGAGCACAGTACATTCATGCATTTGCTTTTTATTAATATAAAAATTGTAACATAACTTCATTACTCTGAAGTTCTGATTTTTTTCCCATGTGAATCTGATGCTTCTTAACTATCAACATTAAGTTAATATCTATTTGAATAAATTATGACTTTTCCAATTACTGATTTAACTCTGTGTCTTTGGGAGGGTCAAATGTTCTGTTTGGTTTATGTATCTTTATTTCCAATACCCTGGATTTTTTCTTAAGTCCAGTCTCTAGAAAGTCATTTTAATGCCCTTCTTTTTTCCCCAGCCTCTTTGCAAAACATTATCTACACATTATAATATATATATATATAATTTTATATATTACATATACCATATGATAAATCAGATGAACTCTTATGTAAAGGTTTTAATTAGCAATGTCAAAGTAAGTAAAATCACAAATGAAGAAACATATAACTCACCTACTGTCTCATTCCGCCCATATTCCCTATCATATTCATGTACTTACTATAGCCAATAAGGCACTATGATATGACATCTAGAAGCTTCTTCAGTGTTCTGTAACCACATGCAAATATTCCATCATCTTCCCATCTCAGGTCTACTTGCTGCTTCCTCACTTCAAAGAATTCTTTTCATGAATGTTTGAGTAATTGTTCTGAAGTCACATTTACTGAAAATGGTCCTTGAACATCTTGACTGAGTCATTCACACTCTACCTCTTTGCTCTGACTTATTTCTTTTCAGTAGTTCTAAGCTAATGTTTATCATAGAAGATAAATTCGGTCACAGCACTGGAATTGCTTTGTGTACCTCTGGCACATAATATGTCCTCAAGTATTTATGTTCTAGAAAAAAAACAATTGAATGAATAAACTCTATTAGGACAACATCAGTTGTTTTTATAATGATATCAATTAAGCATTTTAAAAATACGTTTTATTAAAAATCTTGGGATTCTCATTAATTCAAACTTACATGCTATATACAATATTAAAACAATTCAATATGAGTGCAATAAATAAAATATAAAAATACAATTTTTGAGATTACTTATGAACCAGTGTATATGGTGTCATGATCTCAATCAATAAATGAATTAATACTTAATTATATTCCCAGACACCAGCATTTAGGGAAGACAGGAAGATAATTAGAGTGGGTAGAAAGAGGTAATAGGAAAATGCGAGGGCTGGGGATTTTCTTCATTGCATTATGCTAGATGTTTTATATCTGTTATGTCATTCAATTTTATGGTAGTAGTATTCCTGAATTACTGTTCTGAAAACTGTAACACCGAGAGATGAGCTAAATCTCAAAGAATTATATGTTGTTACGAAGAACCAAATCTCAATTTAAAAAGATGTTAAATCTAAGCTCTTTCAGCTATATCATGCTTTCCCCCTCGGAGTAATTAATACGCTTTAAAATTTCACAAATTTCAAGGAGATTTTATTCTAACGAAGAACACATACAAAATAAAGATGTAAGAAGTAATTTAAATATCAAAGGAAGCCAAAGTCTTGAACTTTATTATATGCCAATTTTTATTGTGCACTGCAGTTACCTCCAGAGCTGTTTTAATCAACACAGACAGCCATTTCAATCTAATTTCTTACATATTTTCATCAAAAGTCAGCCAAATGGTCAACATAGAGACTGTTTGCAGTGAAACCAGAAAATAGAGTCACCTGGGGAAAGTACAAGGAAAGGCACATGATTAAAATCTGCTTAGACATATCAGAAGGTAAGGAAGGTAAGAGGTGACCTGAACCTTCACAAGATAAGAGGAGAGAAAAAAAGAAAACAAAGATATTTTATAGAGGGACAAAAGAGAACTTTGGGAACTATCACTATATACTGGACATTTTGTTATACTATTTTTTTTTCTTTGAGAGTGCACGTTGAAAGAGATAAAGAGGAGTGATGGACTCGATGCCGCAATCTTCCAGCCTCCAGTAAGTTTTGTCATAGGGTGTGTGCCACCATACCCTTGTTATACTATTCTTATATTCAGATAGTGCTGTTTCCAAAATCAGTTTTTTCCACTTTTTGGGGAACTTGAAAAATACATATGTATATGTGGATTTTTAATGGTCTTATTGATGAACAGGAAATAGTGAAACAGAATTACTCTGAGGAAAAGAGAGAATTTGCACGGTCCTAATCAGTCTAAAATAAGATAAACCTCATAAGATAAACATTCGTATTTCAGCCATACTTGAGGAGAAAAAGCTGTATTATAAGACAAGATTATGTTCTGACTCTATTTCACTTACCATTTAACCACAGAAGAAAACAAGAACGAGTAAAGGCAAGAACTTTCTCAGCCTCAGTGGCCAAATCTGCCAGCCAAGACTTTTATCTACAGACCACAGGTCCCTTGAGTAGTCTTCTGAGTTTTGTTCTCATGGGACAACAATTTCTTCAGCTCTGATACCCTCTGTGAAAAAATTATTTCCCTGAAAATTATCCTAGGAATTTCCAGAAGAGAGTTTGGTTTCAAAGCACAGTTTTAGCTTATAAGTTCCTGGAAGGTTATGACAGGGTCAGACTGGGATGGACCAGTGATTTTGGAGATTAAAGCAAGCATATAAAGTAGACTCCACCTCTGATTTTGAAAGAAATTAAACTACAAAGAATCATTTTTTAAGGTCTAACAGAGGGTTTAATCATTTAGTCAGTGGACTCTTACATAGTCAACGGTGATTTGAATTCCAGACCTGGCAGCTTGAAATTCATGCTGGGTTCGTGTGAGTGTGGTCCCAAAATCCCAAGAGGAGAATGGAGAAGAAAGGACTGTAACATGTTTATCCCTCCTGGGGAGTGGTTTCTCATTTTCTGTCTCTTTTTCTCTCTCTGTCTCTTTGGTGGGTGCTTGTGCCCTATGGCAAAAATCCCTTAAATAAAGAGAAAGAAATCATTTAATCATAAATTAATTAATATATTATTTTAGGCTCACATTTATTTGTTTCTGCTTTTCTTACAGTAAAATGTGATATTTTTCTTTCTTATTAAAATATAATTAATATACCGTAAGCTGCAGAAACCTGAAGTGTACTAGTTACTGGATTTTTATCTGTATAAGTAAACAAGTAACATTTAAGAACAAGAATTTCCAGATCTGATTCTGCATTTGTTTTCTTCTTTTTAATTCTGTTGCTTGTTTCTTTGTGTTGCTTTCAAACTTTTCTATTAACATGTATACGCGTGAGGACTACAATGACTTCTCAATGAATTGCCCTTACTCTCCTTGTAAGATATCGCCTTCTCTCTTTACTTTTTTTTTTTTTTTTTTAGATTTCTGTAGGGCATGTATGTGTGCAGGAGGAGAAAGAGACAGAGAGACTGAGACAGTAAGGCTGAGAGATAGAGAGAGAGAAAGAGAAAATAAGAAATTACCACTCAGTAGGAGTGCCAAACCACAACCCCTACCCCTCTATTCTCCTTTTAGGAGTTTAAGCATGCATGCACAGAGCATTTTTCAAGCTGCCAGGTCCAGGACTCAAACCCTGTAGTCAACCATGTAGTGTAAAGCTGCCTTAACCACTACACCATCAGCTGGTCCACAAAATGTCTCTTTTATTCCTTTGGTGAAGTCTTCTGTGTATCTTGCTTTAAATCCCAAATAATCTGATAATAATATGGTCACATTGGCCATATATATTTGGGTGCTTTACATA